CAGACAGTATTGCACAATGGGGACACCTCTTGCATTTTTCACAGATTTGCAATGGATTTAAGTACAGCAGTATATTAAATAAAGATGGAGCACAGGTTTAGGCAATGCCCAGAAAGTTTAACTATTATTAGCACTCTCCTTGGCACAGCTTTCATCTAGACAATCTAATACTTTCCCAGAAAATTGTGGAGAATGGTTTGGAAGATGGACCTAGTAATTTGTACAATAACTGTGGAAAAGAGTTAAGCTGTATTATCTCATTAACCAGGATGTTCTGTACCTTAAGTAATTTGTTGAGCTTAAGAAMAAATAAAATTTTAAACCCAAGTTTTCTAAATCTTTGAAAAATATCCTATTTACGAGCCATTCATTCTGTTGCTTGTGACTGCTCCATACAGCAGATTTTCTCTGTTTTTACCATTCTACAGTCACTTTGGAAATTAATCAAGTCTCTGAATAATCATATCTTAGTCAAAGTGTATGTAAGGTTTTGCCTGAAAAACATTTACTAGGATTCAACGAATAGATGATGAAGTCCTTGGGACACAGTTTTTTTTTTTCCTTATTTTTATGCTTTTGCTTTACTGGGTTGATTTTCTAACAATTTCAGCTTGTCCCCTAAAATACAGGTGTTTTCTAAGCCTGAAAATACATTCCTCACTATTCACTCTTGCTCTTGAGTATTTCCGATGCAACCAGATTGAAATGTGCTTCTGATATTCTGAGTGTCCTGGCTTCCTAACATTTTTTTAAAGGGTCATTCACTTCACTGAGAGTTTGCAACTGAATGAMAAATTCACAGTATTTGATTTTTGCATTCTCGCATGCTGAAAGGAGAGTGAAGTACAAAATTATCTTCTTAGAACTTAAAAATTACCATGTCAAGATTGAATTACAGACATGATGAAGAGATGCATCTTATCCAAATGGAACACATATATGCGAGTTAATATTAGTACGCTAACAAGGAACCAAGAAGATTTTTAGAAATCCTCAGCATCTAAATCTTGATGATTTTCACGACGTGGTTATCTCCTCTYTAGTGTTATAATGACAAAAGATTTTTAAGAGTCGATATCTCCCCCCTTAATGGGAGCAGGTGGATGAACACATTTGGAAAYCTAGTTCACTACTGTACTGGAAGGAGAATGGGAGATCAGATGTTTTCAAATGCAGGTGTATTTGTTWGAACTGTGGAACAGCTCAAACCTATCTCATTTGTGTATATTTGAAACATCTGTGTTTCAGAAAAATTGTGGTGCTCTCAAAAGGGCAGGTATTACATCCAAAACTACAGGTGAAAAACCATTATCCCATTAGCTATCATCAGTGGTCTCATTTGTCACCAATTATTATTTAACTTTGTAAATCTTTGAGGATTTTGCAAGTAAAGCTCATGCAGCTTTGAAACTGTTTTCTTGGGTTTTTTGGTTGTTGTTTTTTTAAAAAAACCCTGATTATTCACAGCTTGCTAATTTGTAATTGGACTTTTACAACTCAAAACCCTCCAGCTTTCAGGAAAACTAATTTATCTTTTCTTGGTTTAATTGTGGTATTCACACTCAAAACTGTGGAGTGAGATTRCTTCTAGTGGGTTGTATGCAGTGTTCTGGAACTAATAAAATATATTATTGATTGCTTAATGAAAAGCACCACGTTGAAAAAAATTTACTGTGGCTGAGGATGGATACAACAGCTACTTCTTATTCTGTTTGGAGGATCACCTGCCATTTTACTTGGGTGTATTTCTGCATATCAAGTGTGCTTTTAAATTAAGTTATGGTTGCCTACAGGGCACTATATTGGGTGGCTCCATTAAGGTGCCCTTATACTTTTCCTTCCATGCAGTGCTACCCGTTGCTTTTAATTTAGCTTAAGATCATCAAAATTAATTATGATAGAGTGTATTAAAAGTTGAAATAGCAAATCAAGGAGTTTTATTAAGTGCCCTTTAGATTTCCTTATGTGTTTAGTGGTTTTAGCTTTTTATTTGCTCATCACAGTCTGATTCATCGTGATTACTATGAAAAAGTTCAGTRAAACAGAACAAAAATGACTGACTAWGGTGKTAATAACTACAASTCTCATTTCTGAGCYGGGTTTGRTATCCCTACCAGCCAAAATAAATGTACAAATGTTCTAGTAGTGCTGGTGACTGGTGTAGGTGCCCTTTCCCTGTTGAGATGTTGGTCTGTGCACTTGGCAGCAAAGCAGTGGCTGCATTTTGGCCATATGAAAATGCTGCTGGTCCCGCTCCATCATCCTGATGGCAAAACTTCCAGTGTCAGTGGCAAATCCCAGGAACTGTCACTGCTCTATGATGTCTTGTAGTTGGGAATGATGTCCCCCCTATCTGCCAGACATGACACAGCATGCCTGCTGCACTGACTGCTCAGGACAGGTTTTGTTGGGGTTTTTTTTATGCACAGTTGCTGGGGACAGTTTAACACCTACCCAGTGGTCACCTGGGGCTTTCTGTGCTCTGTTGGTTGCTGTCCCAGGGCATGGATCCTGTGAGGTTCACCTAGGCACAAGATCCTGCTGGTGCCCAAATGGATCATTAATTCTGTCCTTCTAGTTCACACCTTAGAAAACTTTATCTTCCTATGAAAGCAGAGCAAATTTTTTGACACAAATGCCTGAGTTTGCTCAGTCCTCTGCATCTGCTGCATCTCTGTCTGTGTCTTGCTACCTGGCTGCTCAAGATGGAAGGACCCAGGATGGGATGCAACTGCAATTTGAGAATAAGATCTGACATTCATTAGTGACATTGCATGTTTAAAACTCCACACACAAGAGATTGTAATATCCATGTTGAATTCCAAACCTAATAACTAGCAATATGATCTCAGGTAGGAAAACTCAGCCAGGAAAAGATCCTACCTGTGGTTCAGCAAACTATCATGTATTCATTTTTCTCATGTTATAAAGTCATAGATTTTTAAGTGAAAACACATTATGGTCGTCTACAATCACCTTCAGCCTTAACATATCAATCCCATCACATTAGCCCAGGTAATACATTCAATAGTATGCCCATTAATRTGTAGATGGATATACTCTTATTAACTATAGTCTATTTTCAGAGGATTAATAGATTAATGATGAACAGAATAACCACTATACCTGTACTTCAACCATTCCATTGAAATAAATCACACAATAATCTCTGCTGAACACAGTGATACTCAAACACATCCTGAATGGACTCAGATCAGATCAGCTCCTCATTTCTGGACGTACCTACCACCAATGTACCTGGTTATCTATCAGTTGTACTCCTCAGGTGAAATCACCAACCCACCGCATAACAGACCCCATATGCACTGGCTTCAAAACCATTAATTCCCTCTCAACTCATAGCACAATTTGCTCCTTTGTATCCCTAGCTCACATGTCAAGGCCAACATACTACAAATCAAAAAATGTCATCCATTAATTTATTTAATCAGCTGCAACTATTTTGAGATAAAAGAGAACAACAAAAATAATTTCACATGAACCATACAATTCTGGGTAATTAGAATAGCCTTTTTATTTCAAAACTTAGTTCTCTTCAGTGCTTCAAATCCTTTCTTTTTTTCTAGTTAGATTTTGTTTGGATTCCCTTTTCATCATGTTATACCTTTTCCTGTCAGATGAAACTCTTACTGATTATCAGAAATATTATTTTACATATAATGAGCTAGTTATCTCCAGGTCATTTGTCAATCAACCAAATAGGCTGTACTTTTTCTGTCTTTCACACAGCAAGGTATATTTTGAAGAATGCATCATTACATCTTTCCAGAATCCTTTCCAATTCCTTGATATCTTTTTAGAATTACAGATATTAATTCTGGACACAGAATTCCAGTAATGGTGCCATTAATGCTGCCTTACCACTTTTATCATGTTCCCTTGCTTGCAAATCAATTAAGGATCATGTTAGCTCACTGAAGGAAATCAGGTTCAACTGCTCATCTACCATTAWAGTAATTTGTTATCAATCTGGAGACAGAATCATTGCTCTTTACAATGGCCTTTCTCATCTTACAAATAGTCCTTGTTTCTAGATAGAAGTCCTTGCACTTGGCAGCAATAAAAACTATGTTTAGATCTGAACTGACCTCTGCAAGCGATCCAAGTCACTCTGTACAACTGACCTGTTCTCTGTATTATTTACCATTCCACCAATAGGTCACMTCCAGTTCTCTGATTAATTGAAAGTAAAAGGAAATAGATTTTTTTTTTCTGTATAAATTAGTTTAATGCATGAGGCCATGACCCAAAGCCCATTAGACTGACTGAAAGAATTTCTATTGAATTTGGGTAGCTTTAGGTTCTGAGTCAGTTGTAGTTTTACTGTTTTAGAAATTGTTCTGATTCCAGGATAAAGTTGAATACATTATAGGCTTTACTGACAGCTACAGAATTTTTTTTTGTGGTTTGGTGTAGGTTTTTTTAAATTTTTTTTTTTAATTTAATTTAATTTAATTTAATTTAATTTAATTTAATTTAATTTAATTTAATTTTATTTTATTTTATTTTATTTTATTTTATTTTATTTTATTTTATTTTATTTTATTTTATTATTTTATTTTATTTTATTTTATTTTACCAGCAAACAACACCTGAACAATTTAGGCAGGATGGGACTAAAAGCTGGCTTCAGAGTTCACACTAGAATCAAAAATTTTCAGCAGCTTAACAAGCTAATGGTCTATGCATCCAGTTTCTGGAATGATCCATATTCATGGTCTTAATATGTCCTGTATTTTCTTAAAGCATAAAATTGTTCGATTATTTTTTCTCCATGATACTAGTGTTGCTTGATTTGATAATTCTGAGTCAAAATTTAGGCAGGTTGTCAATTTTGTAGGAAACACCAAAATTTCAGATTTTAATTGGAAAATGGGATGTATTCTTAAAACACTGAATAATCTTCTTTCATATTTYATGAACTTAAAACATTGAATAATGCATGTTTTCCTTTCACATATCTCTAGGAGTATATCCAATAATCAATAATAGATGGAAAAATTTTGGATAAAGAAAARAATAAAGATTTTCATTCAACTCGTTTCCTGAACCTCAATTTCTGACACGAAGGTAATTTATTTGAATGTCTTGCCTATATGAGTTACAAACTCATTACATTTTTAAATGGCTGTTCCTTAATGTTTTTATAGGTAACATCCAGTGTAGTAAGTTCCTGATGTCAGTTTAGATTAAAGTACCAATATAATGGCTAATAATAGTTCTTCAATCAAAAGTAAGCTTTTACAGAAATATGAAGGGGTTACTTTCAGGTGAACATTCTTCAACATTGGCTTGAAGCCATCTTCAGMAGTCAGCAACAGAAAGATTTACTGGTCAGATGACTTTCATATGCACAACACAAATTAAAACTCCAGTCTTGGAAATTTGTTTAACAATAAAACTCCAATCTATGTAAACTTTGAAATGGTTGTGGAGGAAACCATGAATCTGTGTGGGCTTAGGATGTATAACAAACTGCCTCAGGCCACAAGACATACCACCACTTTTTCCCTAAAATCATAAGGAGGGTGTTCAAAAAGCCTTTACTATGCTCTTTTATTGATATTAAACACAGTACCTACAATTTTCTCCTCCTAGGRGCTAGAGACAGAAATTTTCTTGCTAGTTGTTGCCTATGTGCTTTGGCATATCTTTCAATATCAAAGTAGTAGAATAAGCTAATTAKACTGATCCTAAAAGATTCAATGCCTGTAGGCTTTCTTCGGTGCATTGTGTATTTATATCAGAAATGAAGCTTGTCTTGTCTGCTTGCTGTGCTGTGCATGGGTTCTCAACCTCCTGCTAAGATCCTAGCTATTGATTTGGGTTGGCTCTCTCKGTAGGTGCCTGGCATGGTGCCTTATTCTCACAAAGCAATAAATACCTACTTTTGAAAATTGGGACTTTTCCTGGTACATTTAGATGGCCCTCAGAAACASAGCTTTGCTGGTTGACCAAGAGTGATGCCTTTATATAGAGACCTAAAATCTGGAAATTGCTGATGACGTGCAGTAACTTGAGCAAAGGCAGTAAATGTCCTACCCTGTGCTGAAAACTGGGTGGGTAACATCCTGACATGCAGCTGATAGCTTGCTGCCAGTGGCTTTTGTTGGAACTTCCTATGTTCTTTTCCTCAAATGGTCTTAAACTTTTTTTTTGCAGAAAGAAGATTTACATATCAAGGGATAATCAAATTTTGCATGGGGTCTTATGTAATCAATTCATACATAGGTATTGCTGTGTGAGCTGTTTTTCTATTGCACTGATAACTTCCAGTTAGCAGTTATTTTTTTTTTTTTTTTTACATTGCCCATGCTATGAAGATACAAATGGAGAGATGAGAGAGAGAGAGAGAGAGAGAGAGAAAGACATTTTTTGTTTGTTTTTCTGTGTTTTTTGATAATGTTCATATGTAAGAAAGGGGAAATCAAACTCTAGTGACAACATGGGGTGCTGCTCAAAAGCTTCCCTGAGCAGTTTCAACAGGTGAAATATCGTGGCAGAAACAGCCAGCTAGGCAGTAAAACTGAGGAATGAAAACCAGGCAGATTGTCAGAAATGTTTTCCTGGCTGAGTGACAGAGACCCACTCCAACAAGCACACAAACATGTGCATAACTACTTGTGTGAGCAGCATTGCTGAAATTAAGGGAAGGAAAGATCTAAAAAGGAAGGATATTACCACAAGCATTTTTTTTTTTAGGCTTTCAGCCTTCGGTCTATAGAATAGTTTGGCTTTTACTGCTCAGCTTCACAAAACACTTCAAAAAGTATTGATGTAGCAGAGGGGAGAATATGAGTAATCGAGCAATAYAGACTCTTATAGCTCACATTTGTATGACTCATAATATTCAGGCTATGAAAAATAGGACAAGTTTAATGCAAAGGAATAACGCAAACATTTGTGTGGGTTTATTTTTTTCCATCAATAACTTGAAATGACAAAATATTTCCCTGTTCTCTTCTRTATTTTAAAGAGGAAAAGTAATTCACTGCTCCACCTTCACTGCTGTGCTTAGCAGAGACCAAGGACAAATGGCAGAAAAACCTGGAGTGTTTTGCTGCAGATTGGGAGTAGCCACTAGGAGGGGCTGACTGCCTTGAAGAGAAGGTAGGGATTGATTTACTAACAATTCCAATAAAAAACGCTAATAAAATGAGTTCAGTACTAAAAGTARTGCTAAGCTAAGATAAAGTTGAAGTATTTATATATTATTTACAATGGTTACATAATAAYTTGTGGGATAAATGCTCTGTTTGATACTAATGTACTTCCAGGCAGCAAAGACGTTCAAGGGCCTGATTTCAAAACAAAACTCAGAACACTGTTCTCTCCTAAAAGATAAGATTTGATTCATGTCAGTTGTTAGAAAGAAATGTCCTGTATTTTATGCACCATTGTGGGACACAGATGAAATAACTGATTGAATAATGAAAAAGAAAAGGTCTYTGCTCTGTACGTGGCTCAAAGTCAGTGTGTTTAAAGCCAGGTGGCCTTGTTCATAAGCATGGCTCTTGGACAAAACAGCATCTGTTTTTCCATAACAGCCTTTTTTGCTGCATTATAATCTCTTTATATATTTAATACCATAAATAAAACACTGGCATAGAAGAGAACTATAAATAAAACACTGGCATCGAGGGCATATGCCAAAAGTGATCTCTCAACTTGTTTTTTAATATCAGTGCCATAGTTAAAAGAAAAGTCTGCTCAGTGCCATACTGGAAGGGATGAGGAAGCAACTGCTGCATTCCCCCCACCCCCCAGACAAACACAAATAGTAATGCTGGGAAAGTTATGAATGGGATTGTTCTGTTATTCCTTTCAATTGAGGCTTCCCTTTTCTCCTCCCTCACATAGAACTTACTGTTCATGCAAGATGCCAGCTTGATGACAGGATACTGACCTCTTATTAGGAGATATTTTGGAAAAGGTTGCATATTTCAACCAGAGATCAAGCATGGTGTCAAACATATGAGGTATTGCTCTTCTACCCTAATTTACAAGACAGTGAGTGAAAACTTGTGTTTGGCCTATAATTATAATTGCTTACATTTTATCTGGCAAAGGACACTTCAGGGCAAATGCATCTTGGACATAATGTTTTTTCTTGTTTAAAAAAGGAAGGGAAAATTTGATTTAGAAAGGTAAATATGAAATATAAACTTTTTTAAATTTAACGAGAGTCGTGAAATCAAAAATATTGCAGCTGCCAAACCATAGCCTAATACATTTGGTGAAACAAGGTTTAGTTTAGAGGTCTGGAAAAATAAGAAAGGAAAGAAGAGAATCCTCAGCTCTCTAAAGAGAAATTTCAGTGAGGATGTATAAGACCAGTATAAAAAACGGGCTAAGAATATTCTTCTTCGGGTAGAGGATAGTAATGATCAGTATGAAAATGGACATTGAAAATGAGCTAACCATCTGTATTCAACAACAGTAAATTTTTTTCCCTATTCAAAAGTACACTKCTGTGAGTAGGAATCTTTTTCACACTGATGTAATTAGTATCAGCWCAAGAAGCCGGTCTCCTGTTTCTTTACAAGCAAGGAAAAAAACCCCAACAGTAATGACAATGTAAGAGAATGGTTTCAAAGCAGCCCTTTGCTCTGTGAGGAGGCAAGTTGAATACTGTTTTTAAACAGGAAAGATCTCTGCTTGCACTGAGTTCATACAGAAGGTGGTCCTCTGCYTGTCACAGGTTGCCCTGTGACTTCAGTGCTGCCTTCATGGTTGGGTGAGGAAGGCTGGAAACTACTGCCTTTCACAGAGGCAAGTTCTTGATTTGCAGGGAAGAAACAACTCCTGCTATCAGAAAATTCAATATGCCAGTGCAGCAAGGGTCTAGGCTTTGCAAAAAGGCCAATATCTGCATTCAGAAAGTTATGGGAGGTTCTTTGAGGCAGTGTGTTACCTTTCGGGAGAGAAATAACACCCCAAACCCACAAGGAAACTGACAGCTCCTGCTTCGTTGGCAGTTCAGCTTTGGGCCTGTCTCTCACACAAGTGTCTTGCTCTGCCCAGACCTTGCCCAAACTCAGCTGGGGTCAACCTAGGGCAATATTTTTCCACACTGAAAATTTAGATATACCATCTCACAGTTTCTATTAAATTAGGATGTCAGAGGAGCTGATATGTGGGATATAGTCCACACCACTCTGCTGGATCTTCTAAATGTGAAGGTCATTAATAATCATGACCTTGTCACTCCTACTGAGGTTCAGAATCCATAGAGTGTAGCTGCCTCCTGCAGATGCATTTCTTTTGCTGCAAGGGATTCCCCATCYTAATGAACCAGAATTGCAATAGGAKGTGGCAGCTATGCAGAACTACTTGWGGGTGACAAAGGCTCTTAAAACACTTCATAACACTGACTCCTAATTAGYTGGCTTGGATATTCCCAATTCCTTCACCACTTGTGATATTGGGAAGCTCAAAGAAAAAAGATGATGATGCAGCATGCTATCCTATARCAACTGTTTCACCTACAAACTCCAGCTGTCTGAAATAGTTCCTTATACAGACTCTCCACTAGAAAATCAAAGACAGAAGTCAAATAATCCAGACTAAACATTTTTGAGAGGAGAAAAGAAACAAAAGCAGACTGTTCAGTCCTACATAGTGGGTCCATATTCTCCTGTTAAGTTATTAAACCAAGAAAAGCATTATGAGCAAAAGTGATGGCTGTTTCACTATCAAAATGATGCTCTTATTGTGAAGTCTGAGCAGACGTGTCATTAGTGTAACTTGATGCCTGAGAATAGATCTACCACCAAGCCCAATAGATTCCCACCTACTCTGTCATCTGGCTTGGTGCAGAGATAGAGATTTAAGAAATTTAAACATGGGTTTTCAATGTCATTTTATCTCTCTCTCATGTTAGATCTTGTGTTGTATCTGCCATTATTGTGAGCAAGTTTCAAAAGTTTAGACTTTCTAAAATGTTATTTAGCCTCCGTGGAGTCTCTCTTMTTAGAAACCCAGTAAAATGCTTTCTTAGACCAACTGATTTGTCATTGGGAAGTGAATATCAATGATTTCAGCTGTGATGRCTCCAATACTTGCCATCTCTGGCTGCCCCGACAGGCAATCTGGTACATCAGAAAATAGCTGGGACACCTCAATTGCCCATCACCAAAGTCATTAATAGATCATTAGCAGCTAGTGTTAAAGCAAGGCTTTGCAAGAAGCTGCTGGGAGATGGGTGTGCACTGCTCTTCACTGTTGTGCAACCTTAGTAGTTGCCTTCAGGACTTCTATCTGTGCCTGCCTGGTGTCCTGTTAAAAAGGTTGTTTCTCAACTCATAGTGAAAATTTTCCTCGCACAGAGAGCACCTGTTTCATATTATTCTGGATGAGCTGTAATTTGAACTTGACAGAATATTAGAGTATAAAAAGTCTCCATCAAAAAGGGAAAGTTGTTCTTTTGGTCTAAGTTTGCTGGSTTTCTTAATATGGATCCACTTGCTCTTGACAGCAAAGATCCTTCACACTAATACAAAAGCCTGAATAAAATCAGAGATTAGTAGCTGTAACAGAAACATGACAACTCTTCATTCCTCTTTGAGTGAGATTTAGTGTTTAAAATGCAGTTGACCTAATTTTGCTTRGGAAATCTCTTATTCTTTTTATCTAAATTTTCATGCAAAACTTTTTTTCAAAATAACTCCTTCCCATCCTAGTACAGGAATTTTTCTTTCCCATCCTAGTATAGGAATCTTTCTTTCATCTTCCCTTTGCTTTCTGGGAGGGTGCCATGTAACTTGACAGGCTCTTCTGCTAAGCTCTATCACTTATATTCCACCATGGAAAATAAGGTGGCTGGGATAAAATCAGGGAATAAAATGTGCTGAAGTCCATGTCAAGTTGATCTCAAGTACCAGCCAAATGCATGGTTTCCACTGTGATAAAAACTTGATTTTGCATCTGCTTATACTTGTATAGACAAAAAAATGTTAATTGTATGTATGCACAATATAAAACGTTTTAGACTTATGAACTTTTATTTAAGATAAAACTTCTAAAGTAAATGTAACCTGTCTTGTGTGRCAGTTTCCTATTACTGTTAATGACCCCTAAGTTCTTTGTGGCCTTACATAGTTAAAGATCCTACTGATTTCAGTGGAGGCTGAAGTACTGTCTCATAAATACTAGCAATAGGAATCCTAAACAGTGTTTAGTTCCTTAACTTTAGGGTTTTAAATCTCTTTGAATAAATTCACCAGGCAAGCACACAAAGCTGMTGGTTTGATAGACTGGGAAGTGCCAACCTTTTCTGAAAATGATCCCTGGTGTTGCAGCCACTATTATACATGAGAAGAGATCTTTTAAGAAGCTGGGTAAACTTGATGCATCCAAAATCATTAAACACCTGTTCCATTAATGACATGGAATTTGTCCTGTGTACACTTGCAGCAGATTCCTTCTGACAGYTCATCTGAGAAAATTGGGCTTAATAAGGAGGGCAGAGGTCCTCAGCTAATGAGCAAGTGGAGGTTCTGATCTATTAGGTTAGATAGAAACTACCCTGTCTTTGAGACTTAAAATATGACCAGGGCTTTGGCCTTGTTTTGAAACATTTATGAATCAGTGCCTTAATCCTGCAGGACTATTCACCTGAAATCGGTGGAACTATTCACAGCAGCAAAAGATGTACTATTGGGTCACAGCAGTATGTTCCCCCTGAYATCAAGTTATTCTCCACCTCTCAGCACCACTTCCTCAGCATGCTGGCTTATCATCCAGGGAGCATGAGTTAGGCTTACTTAGCCTTTCTTAATTTGAAAGAAATGTGCTAATTGAAGATTGATTCTTTATAGTGGGAAGTCTTGGCTAATAGAAAAGCCACTTTTTTGTTTTCTATACAAAAATTTCTGTAAAGTCATAGTTCAAGATGCTTAACATGCTTAGGTGAACCTTTTTTTTCTAGAAATGTCAATATTATTGAGTTTATAAATGTCATTTCCAGAAAATATTAATGAAAATGCCTATGAAGATTATTATTCTCATGGGAAAGCAAGTAAATTCAAAGAAAAAAAATTCCAGAAAGTAAATACATTTTGCAGGCTTCAGTAATCATGTAAAAAATAAAATAATTAACTAAAACTGTAGCAAATTTTGATGTTGTRAAATAGCTACTAACAGAGTTTGGGCCCTGTGCTGCAGTGATGTCATCCTGGAGCTGCACTGTTTGCCTGTTTTGTTCTCTGTGTTGTGACTCATTTCATAATGTGTATYGGCCCTGAGAAAACCTTGCTAAAATCTCACAGGCACATCTCACCTTCACTTAATCACTCTGAAGCGCAGACACCAAAACAGTATTTATGCTTAGTATTTATGTGAGTGCCAGAATTTTGTCCTAACCATTTTTTGAATGAGACTTGGTCATTTATTCTTGTTATGGGGTACTCTCTTAGAGGGGTGGTTGAGGTGTGGTATACTCGGGGTGTCATTACACTTTAAATTTATCAGTGTTTTAGGGGGAGGAATGTACAGAGGCAAATGGGCTGAGGCTGTGAGTGGTATCAGTGACAGAGAGGTGATGGGCCCATGGTAACACAAGATTCCAGAAGGACAAACTGAACTGAAGACACAGTGTGGGTAGAAAGGCTTTACAGACACTTCTGGCTTGAGTCAGGCCAGGAGAACTGAAGGTTAGTGTTTGGTGGGTCACATGTGAGTGCTWGCCCATCACTGGACATGCCTGGACCTCCACTGGCTGCACAGTTACACTGAGCCCTTCTGATAGGAAAGAACATGAGATATTACAGTTATTACAGATAGCAGATATTCCCATATGAAATGACGATATTATGTGCTGTAATTGTTTTAAAGACCAGATATAATGCAGCCTTTTTTTTTCCTTGTGGATTCTCATGCATTTATGTGTTGTGTATATAGCCCTGCACACAAGGTAACCAWTCAGCTGCCTTATCTTCCATTGCCAGCATTTTTCTTCAAGACACTCTTGTCTGGGTGAGCATTTTTTTCCTTTAACTTAAGACTTAGTTGGTGCAAGAAAGATCTGGCTGGAAGAAAGATGCAGACATAGTTTCCAAATGTGTACAATTTTTCTCTCCAGGCAGCATTTTATCTGTACAGTTCATGTTGACATAACAGGTAAACCACAAACAGTATACCATGTTTTGTCAGTGTAGCCATCTAACTAAGGTGTTTGCTAGATAAAAAATGTTGCAGATCCAAACTGAAAGTTTTGATTGTTGTCTTAGCACACATCTTAGAGAATTATTTACTGCTGGCCTGACTTTTTATCATTAATATATACCATGTTGACTCAGTGTGTTAAAGGTAAGTAGCATGGCACTAGCTCCTGTATTCCTTGGATGGTGCATGATGAAGAGTAGCCCACCTTACAATGGGTGTAAGGTGCTCTGTGTACTCAGAGCAAATAAAAATAACTCATGTACTTTCAAAAGATTTTATTTTCTATTGCACAGCTTGAATTCTTTCCTGTTCAATGTGTGACAAAAGAAATCCTATTTTGTGGCTTCTGAGTCCAAGAAATGCAAACTCTGTTTTCACTTAATTTATTAAGCAGCTCTGGTCTTACAGTGTAGAAAGTATTATTCCAGATTGTGCTATTACAAATGATGCTATAAAAAGTACTATGTATTTTTCATCTTGTCATCTTTACCAAAGTGTAAGAATTTTTTTTCAGTCTTAGATCATATGGACTCTCTTTTCTGAACCTGCTGACTGACATCAACGGCAGCCTTGCTAAGGCAAAGTAAATGTCATGAAATGTTTTGTTCTACCGCAGACACTGGCAAATAATTGGCATCTGTTTTCTGTTGTCTAGCTGCCATTCTGTTTTCTAAAACAGAAACTTCCATTTCTCATCTAATTCCTTGATGAATTCAGGCTCTTATGGGACTGAAAGAATTGCAAGGAAAAAATGTGAAATATTTTGTTAAAGGAAACCTAAATAGTTTCATAGTGATTTCCATGWAATKAATTATCCAAACTGGTTGGAATTTCTTAAAATAAACCAAGTAAAAACYCAAGAATGTTTATCTTGACAACTGGAAATTTTTTCAGCTGAATAATATAATTACTTCTGTGTTTGTCTGGATATTTTTGATAGATGCTATTGGCATTCAGTCACTTTTGTCACCAGCTTTACTGTTTTACCAAAATATGGCATAATTTCTCTGTATACAGTAGGAGATTTTTCAATTGTATCCAACTGTTGGCTAACAGGATATAGAATACTTCTCAAAATACATATTCAACTCCTTATTACTAAAGCTTTAAAGMAGATAAAATAACACTCTGACTTCAWGWATTCTWTTGGCTAAGCATATGACATTAATACTCATTAATATGCTTTCAAATATATTGCCAGAGTGGTAATAAMATTAACACCTTCTAATTTTTATGTGGAAACTAAACCAAAGTGCATTTGATCTTGTGACTACTTAGCAGTGTGCATGACACTTAAAATATCAACAWAAATGCTGAATAAAAACATTTTCTCTTTATTAAGTGAAGACATGTTGCATCTTATGTTGTGAAGAGATATTGTTCAGCTACATAGGAAAAATGTGTGATAAAGAACTAAGAGTCAGACAGCAGGATAAAGGAAGAGATCAGCTTTTGTTTTYACACTTAAGTGTTTCCATAGTTTATAACATATTAAATAATACACAGAAAGTTAATTCCAGTTTATCACTYTGGTAAAGCCTCAATAGTTGTTTTKAATTTTATGGACAAYATTTGTCTAGAGTAAGGCAAAAATCAGATACATTTTTTGCATTATTTCAGAGGAGACTAGCATACTTACATTACAGTGAAATCTCCTCACAGCACACCCCTTTTCRGTAAAATTAAAATTCTTGTATATKTAAGCCACCTTCTTACAAAATAAGYTGCARATTTAATCACTGCTGTGAAATGAAGGTACAATTTTAGGTGTGATTCTGATAAATTATAAGCAGTATAAATTAAATATATAAATATATTGAAGATAAAAAATATGTATATGTACAGAGGTATTTGCTTCCAGAGCCTTGAATCTGCACCCTTATTCATGCAAGACAAGCCAAAATTTATTGTGGAATGATGTCTTTTCATGTGCAGTACATGTGAGACATTTCTCTCTCAGCCCTGTCCCAAGGCCTGTGTGAATCACTGTTTTTTTTTTACTGTTTAGTGCCTAGCAGATTTAGAACCCAAATCGCTGCAGATCTTTGTCAGATACTTTACCACATAATTGTGGTCTAAGGCAGTGGTGTTTAGGAAAAAAGCACAGTTATTCTGTATGTCAGAGAGCYATGGAGCTAGCAGGAAAATGTGGAGAAATTTTGGGGTTTAGAGACTTGATTAACTGCACCATTTATGAGACAAGAAGGCAATAATTTCATTKACAGAATTGTGAATCTGTAGCACTGAAATAATGAAGTCTCACTGAATTAATTTTCAGTCTCTCCCAATCCTCACTATTATAATTTTGGTCAAAAAAGACTGGCTGAGGCTTCATTTCAACTTTACAGCTGAAAACATTCTCATACTTGACCTTCTTCATCAGCCTTGGTGTACCTAGTTTTGCTGTATGTTTACCTCTCTCATCCTATTTTACTTCCTTCTTTGTTAAAAAAATACATTAGAAAATTATTACAAACAGTGCCAAATAAATTCTTGGTGRTAAAATACTCTCCATGATAATTTCAACTCTTCTGATATCAGAAYATGGACTACAGTGTTTCAAACTGATATTCTGAGAAATTTTCATGTGCTTTGCTATTCCGGTTGAGCATAAGAATAGAGAAGGAAACAAAAATGAATTTGTTAATAAGTGCTTCTCATGGTTTTCATAGAAATTTTTTGAATATATTATGGCTACCTGTTTCTGTATGACATGTGAAGAAGAATTGGTCTATATTTTCCTCAACTTTACAAAAAAGATTTTATGACCTTTTAACATTCATGTTTGCAGCACCATTGCCACTGTGATGTGATATCCTACTGTGATTTACGGCAGATATTTTTGAACCCTTATCAAAGCATCAACAAATTGCTACCACTCTCTCTATCATGGAAACAGGTACAACCAAGCACTGTCCAGGYGTGGRGCCCCACATAAGARGGATGTGGATCTGTTGAAGTGAGTCCAGAGGAGGGCCATGAAGATGATGRGACAACTGAAGCTCCTCTCCTGTGAAGACAAGCTGAGAGAGTTGGAGTTGTTCAGCCTGGTGAAGAGAAGRGCCTGGCACCTTCKGGTGCCTAAAGAGGGTCTACAAGAAAGCTGGAGAGGTACTTACTGCATGTACTTATAGGACAGGGGATAATGGCTTTACACTGAAGGAGGACAGGTTTAGATTAAATATAAGAAATTCTTYACKATGAGAGTGGTGAAGCAACAGAACRGGYTGCCCAGAAAAGCTGTGGRTGCCCCATCCCTGCAAGTGTTCAAGGCCAGGCTAGGTMGGACTTTGAGAMACCTGCTCTAGTGGAAGGGATCCCTGCCCATGGCAGAGGGCCTGGAATTAATGATTTTTAAGGTCTCTTCCAACYTGAASCATTCTATGATTCTATGAMCTTTAAAAAGTTTAGCCTATAGYAGAATYKTAYTCGGTGYGAATGCATTTTTCTGTGCAGTRCAAATCATGCAARGGAASTGTTGCTATGCTSTGACACAGTAATTATTAAACTGCAGCATACACTTCATGAGGTGCAGTAGCATAGCATAATCCAGTGAAAAGGTAGAAAGTTTTCATGTTCCTTTAGTTACATGTTATTACTGCACATTATTACATGTAGTAGAACTAGTTCTAATGAATTTTGGGGTGTTGTCATCTAAATTTTTTCACTGTAAACAATTTTAGAAAAGTTATTTTCMTAATACAGAACCTAAAACTTCTTGAAGTTATTTTGTTGTAGTGCTATTCAGATATATATTGCAGATCTACCATTTTTTTCCCCACTGAAGATATTGTTGTCCTACATTATCTAAGAAATTAATTATATTAATACCCTTAAAAATTCCTTTTTTGAATGAACTGAGTGAAACTGTTATATAGCAGGGTCTTAGAAGGTGCCATTTATTCATGTACCTTCCCTCCTCCCAGAATGGAGACATATAAATCTCTCATAAGGCTTATGACTGTATTCCTTCCTTAGCAGTAGGTTTATATGTTGTTCGTATGAAACAGTAAAATCATCAGGATCAAGAACTAGAATTTTCATAAGAAGTGTGCAGTTATGAGKAAATGGACCTTTAACACTGAAATAGTTCAAGGTAAAACGTTTTTTCATGATTTAGAGGCAGCTGAAAACAAAAAATTCTGCAATTTCCGTTCCCAAAACTGAAGTGAACTGCTTTATTTTTGAGGTTTCTCTGCTTCATTTTAGTTGTTTTGACTTTTTATTATTTTATTATTTGACATGTTACTATTTCCTTCTACCACCTGAAATGACTGATTTCTGCCCCAGGTAAATTGCTTCCTTTTCTGATGTTCTTTTTTTGTAGATCAGAGTTCCAATATGGCCATGCTCTTGAAAGGGAAGCACCTAATACACAGCTCATTTATCAAGGCAAAAGTGTTTAACTATGACCTTAAGCACATGCTGCTGCTTGTTAGTTTAACTGAAGCTACACAAACATGATAAAAGGTAACTGACCTTTATTCTGTGCTCTAGGTATCTGTTTGATGATGGTCTCACTTTGTCCAGGGGTTTAACAAGTGTTTACTTTTTAACTAACTCTCTGATTGCATGATCCTCTTTYCCCCGACTCTCTTCCTTCATCATATGATACAGCTTTTTCTTAAGTCTCTGACATTTCAAGTGAGGGTCACTGTATTTATGCAGTGCCAAGAGCTGGGAACAGTCTTATGTGCTGAGTGTGCTCTTCCCCATTGTTCTGCAAATTAGTCAACATGAAACCAAATAGCGATAATGTGTTGTTATGATTAAGGTTAATAAGCTACTGATTATCTCCATAGACTACAGTCCCAGACACATTATTTAAATGCTTTTTCRAACTAGTTGATAAAAGATCCAAATTTCCCCATTGAGATAAAAGGTGTTCTAAGCCGGTAGAGAGATAGGGAAGCATTACACAACAGGAAGAGTTTACTCTGTTCAATACATTACAGGTTTATTTTATGGTGACAATAGCACAATATAACTCCAGAAAATAGTGTCTGGTAACAAAAGGACACTCTTTGTCTCTGAGATGAAGCCTGTTGAAAAAAACACTTGCGTTAAGAAACCTATTGTTACCTTTCTGGTGAGTGCAACAAATGTAACAATTATTGTGTTCAGTTAACCTTACCTTCTAAGATTAATCAACGTATAAAGCCACTAGTTTTRTGTAATCTGGTCTTCACTAGCATGAACAATCCTTCAGTAGAACCACCTAAGAGAGGACAGTTAAAGAATATAGAAAAAAAAATAAATTTCCAAACCCAGACAACAAACCTAACCAGAATTTTGGCTGAGTCTTTGTCAAAACTGCCAGCCTGARAAAAACTTTTTAACCTTCAAAATTAAAAATAAAAAACCAACCAAACAAACAAATATACTTCAAAAACCCCCAGCAACCTGTATTCATATGTTCACAAGACATATAAGTTTTAGACCAGACATGGATTTTTCTTTTTAATTTTTTTTTTTTTTTTTTGGGGGGGGGGGTAGTAGTAGTTTTTTGCAATAGTAGTTTTACAACTATTTCAGATCATTCGCATGTTTGAAAATATTGATAATAATACTATTTTCTTCTGTAGTTCTTGAGGATACTTTCCTTTGAATTTCTAAGTCAAATCCAGATTTCTCTTAATGACAATAGTTTCTGCAACATTTTTAATAGTCCCAGGGGAAAAAACAACCTCACAAAAAACAACACAAGAACTTGAAAAGCTTTYTCTGACTTTTTAGCCAAGTGTTCTGATGGCTACCAACTGGGTCATTACTGACAAGCTTGTATTTTTCCACTTTATCACGCCAGTTGACACTCACATACCCCAAAGAAGAGTAGCTGAACATTGAGCCAAGAAAGGGCACTTGTTCTGTCAAAAAAAGCAAGGTGCATGGTGCAAAAGTGCTTTGACAATCAATTATTAAGAAACCAGAGATGACAACTCATATACATGTATGTAAGTCGATAACCTTTGAGCATTTGATCCCCGGGGATCACAGCAGACAGTGACAGAAAGGATCAAGGTCAGTGACAATGAAGTCAAAGTGATGGTGAAAACCAAATACAATCTAGTCTGTCCCTAAGAAAGGAAAGCTTGCAGTGACTTTGTTAAACTCTGTAGTGAGGGACACGCAAAAAAGCAAGTCAAATTTCTGAATTAATTTCTCTCCTTAGTTTAGAGAAGTTCATCCTTCAGTTCATCCTTCAACATGAACATCCTTCAGTTGATGTTTTTGTTACAAAGCAGACACGTGCCTTACTATGTTCTCAAGTTCCAACTTTTTMTTTTTCAAATATTTCTTCTCTCACTTGCCTTCTTTATCCTTGACCAGCACTTCAAGACATACATATGAAGTTATACAAAAACCCAGGAAAATATTGAAGTCTGATATTTGACAATATCAGAGGAAAGTCCATGTTGCATATGTGTATCACAGGGTGTTTGTGTGAGAGAGAATGAGTAAGATAATTGGTTGCCCTGTGCATTTTTAATGAAGGGTTGAACATTTTCTTTACCTTGAGTGACACTGGAAATAAAATATTTTCCTGTTAGTAGCTGAATGCAAAGTTARAATTCAAGAGCTGGTACTGCAAATATTCAATTGTTCATGTGCAAGATAGGATCTTCAATAAGTAACACCACACAATATGTGTCTCAGCATATCTCTCCTATTAGGCAATTTGTTAAATCTATATACACATATACAGAATAATTAGCCCAACAATCCATGCTGATCATTGAAATGATCAGTTAAGATAAAGAAATATCCTTTTTAAGGCATCAGTCCAAAATTCATAGGAGAAAATTAGAGCTGTAAAGTTCACATGCGAACAAGAATTCTGGAACTTATATAGCAGGTGTGCAAAAGCTGCACCTTCATTCACAGTACTTTCAAGATTGTAGCCCATTAGAATGTCATGATCWAGATTAGGTGTAAAATCAGGCCTTGAAATATATCAGGCAGATRGAAACCAGCAATCTATTTTTTCAGTAAGATAATTCTCTCATTTCCTCTAAAAAATTCATATAACAAATCTGAAAACTTGTTTATAATCTCAAATGAAAGTTTGTAATTTAGAAAATACGAAGAAAGCTACATTGTTTAAAAGGACCCAAGAAGTGTGATATCACTGCAAGATTAAAGATAATCAGTGTTGTGTGACCTATGCAATTGCAGTGTTGTTTAACCATGTCAGTCAAGTCTTGTGTGTTCTGTGCACATGCAATACTCRTGAGACATTAAATACAAAGATATGAAGTCTGAATTAGAACTGCCCTGGGCTGGGAAAATAGTTTAGAGAAGTATCATTACATGTTTATTATGTTTTTACATTTTTTTCTATCAGGCAGGCACTATTTGTCACAGACACAGTTGAGAGATTGGACTACGCAGCTCGCTTTGAGCTCCTGATTAACTACAGCATTTTAGGCTTTCCCTTGTCACAGGCCTTAGACAGTGCAGATGGGATCTGGAGACRCTGAAGCACACTTTTGTTTGCTTTGGCAGATTTTGAGTGTAGTTGTGGTGGGAATAGAARGGCCTCCTCCCCTGACAGCCCGCTTTCTCTAAGGAGTGGAAAGAGAACAGAAAAAGACAAGCCTACTGCTTGGGCACACTGGGGATATAAACTTCTCCTGAAGTATTTCAGAGTTGCTCCCTGGAACAAAAGGGGAGWGGGGAAAGGATGTCTCTTGGGAGTCATAATTCATGTTCCAGTCTGCTTATTGAATGGGGCAGCTCCTTGAAAGATTCATAGATTTTAAGGTCATTTATGATTGTCTTGCCTGGCTTGTGTGACACAAGCCATAGAATTTCATCCCTTCAGTGTTGCTTTCCAACCCATTAGGATTATATATTACTCTGAGTATATATATACTTAATGATTCTCCAGTAATAAAAGAAATAAAAAATTAATGACCATAAACACAGCAACTTTTCTATGGCTACTGAAGACCAGACAGTGTAGTGTCGCTTGTCAAGTTTTAAGTCATTTGAGAGGAAAAATATATGACTAAAAATACTTTGAATGCTCTGGTAGGCTTTCTTTGTAAAAATTAAAGGCAGAGAAGGGAAACAAAGCTGCCTGTCCTATTATCTCTCTATTTGGGGCAGAGTATCCATTTCCCCATCTGTGCTGGCAGTGCCCTTTGCTGAGTTACTGCCACAGATGTAAGCAMAGGGGCACAGAGAAGGAGTAGAAGTGGCAGTATTATCATTGTGGAAGATGAATGTAGTGGCACTTCTAATTTATTTAGTATTCAKGATTTCGACTTTAATTAGGATTCTTTTGTCACATCATTCATCAAATGTACTTGAAAGAGATGGAAATTAACACCAAAGTTTCTGTTGCCTCAGGCATGCTTTTAGTACTTCTACTCGTTTTGGTTTATTGTTGTTCAGTTCAGTGAAATAGCTTAGTTGTGATAGTTCATTTAGCTGTAACTGGCTTTCAAAAGGGGTAGAATGAATACATTCTCTTAAAAAATGCTGGTTTGTGAAGCCCCTGTAGCTCCTAACACCTCTTTTATTAAAAAAAATAAATAAATAAAAAAAAAAACAAAAAAACCAAAAAAAAAAAACAACCCATAAATACATAAAAAATCTTTCAATCTCTATCTCACTCTCTGTCTCCTTTTTTAATGACCTATGTCTGAGTTTTTAGTGTAATACCGTATACCAGTTTTCACCCTGAGAAGTAATTTTTGATACATTTGCTACTGCTAGAAGGCTAGTGAGTCACAGGCTGATTTACAAATTGCAAATATGTTTGGATTAAATAACTTGCTGAAATCATTTTGGTTAGGATGAACATACCTACAAAAATGCCATCTGCATGGGGAAAAGTTTTGTTAATTATTACTCCAGTTCCATGCCTGCCATTGTAAAATTCACACTGCTCTGGCATAACAGGAGCTGCATGGATGTATAGAGGCTTCTTATACCCAGAACTTCCAGCTCTCGTAGCAGGGCTGTAGTCAGACATTTGAATGAAAAGAATGTGAACCTGTATTAAAGGCTGAGACTGTGCAACACCTCAGCAAGGTTATTGCTGTCAGCACAAAAATCATTAGCCTATGTCTAAATATTGCGCTTAGTTGAAAATCAAAAGGTTTATTAAGCAAATATTTCTGAGATTTCTGTGATTAATGAAGCCTGGTTTATGCTGCTTGTGGACATGAACTGCATAGTCTAAGCAGGGCCAGATTCTGACTTCAGTAGATTTCCCTACTGTTTTGGATTTTGAAAATTTCCTTCTGTATTCACTGGTGTCCATGGACGTGTAATTTTGTGTAGCTTTTCCATTAGTAGCATCTCTCTCTCTCTCTCCTTCTCTCCTGATTGCTGAAGTTAAAAAAAAAAAAAAACCAAACAACCATCAGTAGCAAATTTCAAAGAACTTTGCCTTTTTTTGTTCCATCTTCTCAATATGTACCTGAAATTGAAATGGATAAAGAACTAGAAACCTTCTC